ATTATTGCTGGCTTATGGATTAAATAAAAATAATCCTACAATGTATATATATTATTACATTATATGTTACTTCGTCGGAATAAAAAAAATTAGTTTTCGTTCGCGAATTTAAAATTAGTGTGGTGTGCAGAATAGCGCATAATAATTTAATTTCATTAAATGCTTTACAGTATATAAACATGTGTTTAATGCCCTACATTGTAATATTACCTTGAGTGTTTCGAACTTGTGTGAGATTGGCTCTATACCTAGTTCAGTAAAAAAAGAGAAAATAATATAATATCCCCCAGAAAGACTTAACCCATTATCACTATATTCATATCTTCATCTTCTTCGACTTCGTTTCTTTGCATTTTGCCTCATTCGAATAAAGGAAACGTCGAATTAAGGAGAGGCCGATCTTTAAAATTCTCCTCTGATAACATCTTTTGCCTTTGCTAATTAGTAAAATTTCAATAATGCCTTTGTAATTAATAATTAGTATACTAGTAATAGAACTAATCACGTAATTAGTGCTATTAAATGTAACTTTTGCTATTAGGAATCAATCTCTGACTCACCGGTTGGAGCTGTTTGTGTTTACTAATTCATTTATTATTATTATTATTATTATTATTATTATTATTATTATTATTATTATTATTAGAATATGCATATATCAGCCTTTCGGCTCTACAAATGACGGATGTCTTCGGGATTGAGCATGATTCCCCATTTGGTAGTTCATTGTACGATTTGATGTCAGTGCCCCTGAGGGTGGTCAACAAGTGTGTTTGGGACCAGAAAGAAATACAAAAGTGTCGTCTATAAAGTGAGATGTGTTTATAAATCGAGATGGGGGTGTATCTGTGGAGAAAATGTTGAATAATGTTGGGGAAAGTGGGGAGCCTTAGGGAACGCTCGCTAAGATGGGACGAGGGTTAGAAAGATGAGTCTGAATTTTTACTGAAAATGATAGATCTGATAAGAAACTATGGATGGTTGAAAGGAGATAGAGTTGGATACCGAGCTTTCACAACGTACAAATTAGGCCAAATGGGGTCGAATGCTTGAGTCACATTCCGAAAGGGTGCTACGGTGCGCTGCTCTTTTTGAAATCCGGAATGAATAAACTAAATTATTCTGAATGGCGGGGCAAGACGAATAGTAAGAATCGAATTCTAACGTCACTCATCACACAAATTAACTGGAAATGTGTAAAAATGGCAGATATCAGTCACATTTTTCAGCTTGTAATAGAAACTTCACGAATTTATTTTCTCTTCTGAAAAGTTAGAATTCTTGGGATTCGCCTTGTTACAATTTGACCATCGATGTGCTTTAATAAATTTGCCTAATTTTACATTTAGCTACATACACGAATATTGACAGTAGTTTGTGTGCTAAAAGAAGAACATGCTTCCCAAGTAGTTTTGGATAGTTCCCATTGTATCATTTCAGTTTCTCAAAAATAATTGACATAATACATTTGCACACTGTTTGGAATTGTAACAACATTATATATTTATACAATATTATTTTGTATAAAATGGCCAACGCAATTTACTCAAAGAAGTTATTTAGGTGAAGTAATTCGCTATCCACACGTACACGTTCGGCACTACTGCATTAAACATCGTGACTCGAATCATTTCTGAAAACATTTCTTGTGCATTGTCTTGGTTTTGTTTGGTGTGAAAATCATCACAAAAACGCTCGACAGGTTTTCTCTGTCAGCAGACGGGTTCCACTCAACCGCCTGTAAAGTCGTCGGCCTTGTACGAAATGATGGTTCCATCAAGGGACAAACGAATGCGGAAGCAGTCGAACAAGACAACAAAGGAGTTATGCAATGGCGTGCACATTTCAGCAGAGAGTAGGATCATAAGAATTTTCAGCAAAGCTCAGGATTTTTGCTGTCTTATTATGTTTCTGCACATTAGAGCTCAAAAACACTTATGAGAGTTTTTAGAAATGCATCAGAATGGAAGTTGTTCACTTCCGATACTTAAAGAGGGTATAGTTTCATTTTCAGCATTATCTATGTTATTTTCAGTACTGGCGAATCGATAATAGCTATGCCAAAAGTACAGTGTGGTTTAATAAAACATTTATCATTAATTTATTTCTAAATGAATTTAATTTAATTTGTTGTCATTAGTTTAATTCGTTTAAAAGGGAACATACATTCCTCTGGCATGAATAAATGATTTTTGTAGAAACTGAATGCGGATTGCAACGAATGTTTGTTCTAAAATATATTTAAATGTTAAATAAAATGGATATAACTTAATCTATTTTGAATGGTGTATTGATATTGATCGATTATCGGAAGAATTATTACCTGAGGTTCGATAATATTGAAGAAAAAGAACTACTTTAGTCTGTTAATAACGTTCATACCAAACAGAGCATCCAAACAACCTAGGCGTCTAGTTTATAAGCAACCTCACAATTCGTCCGCCAACTGCGTAGGTGACTAAAAATCTCTAGACCATCATGAGAATTTGTAACACACCAACTGACTGGCTGTTCACTGACGCGTAAGCAATACATATTGGCCACTTTCATTGCTTCTTCTCCAATGGTTATTTTAGTACTGAATAGGGAGAAAAACAATTGCTATTCTATCATTAATAACTCGTACATAAATTGTTTTAGTGTTATATTTTCCGCTGAATTTCGAATGCTCTTTCAGATATTTTTGACGTCCCCCCCCCCAAGAAAATGAAAGGATTCTTCGTAATCTCTTATTGTCACTGAAATCTTACATTTAAATTTTCTTTGCCCTCTGAATTAAACCATCCCAGTATAATGAGCCTGAAAAACTACTTTTTAACTCTTAGCCCAATATATTTGCAAGGCAAATTAGACTCACAATGAATGGTAATTCTCACATGTTCGTCACGAAATGGAAGAAGAAAAGAGGAGACTTGCCACATTTTGCTTCTTCGGTTTTCAATGTTGCTCTGGTGGGCAAATTGCATTCATGATCGAACATACATCCCTTATGAAATCAAGAAAATGTTAATCTCCTTGACTAGAAGTTTGGGTAATCTTTTTTGTCTTTGAGAAGATATTTCTGCTTGGGAGGAAGGAAACATATTCAGAACAGTTTTTATACAATTATAATTTCAATGTAGGAGGAAATGGGTTGAGCTTCACCGCGAAACTGACAAGATCTATCAATTTTTTAAGGATGAAAAAGTCACAGTGATCATGTCACACCTCATGTTTATAAAGTATCCTAGAGGGAGTGCTGGCCTAAGTAAACCCGCCAAAAATTCTAGCCTACTAAGTCCCGTAATCGCTGGGTAAGAACGCCACATGCGTTCGAATATTGTTATTTTAGACTAATGCTTGGGAGGTCATTCTCATTGGAGACTAACTAGGAGTCTCGGTGAGTCGTACACAAATTTGAAACGACGCACGTAAAACTCTGCTTCAATGACATTACGAATATAAGTAGGAGAGGATCCAGCAAGTATTTTAGAAGGGACAATGGCAGTTTGCCCCCCACCCTCATAAATACCTCCAAGAAGAAACATACGTTTTAGAACATTATGTTATTCTTGAAATGCCATCCGTTGGAGTTCCTTCAGAATGCGATCAATACGTGATAATATTTTTCAAGACATTGGGTAAAATTACGAAATAAATATACAATTGGACGAGGGCGTGCTACCTGCTTCCTCCCCGTGGAACTATCAAAAGACAGAAATAATGAAAACACACAGTAATACGTATGTTATTATAGTTTTTTACCTTTTTTTCATCACTTGTAATTTTATGTAAACCATTCAACCTTACCCATGTAACCGCTCTTCAAAAGCTTACATCTTTTTCTAGCAAGTATTTCTAGTTTGTATTTGCCATCAAAGAAGAACATTACAAAATATGAGTAAAAATTAAAACAGAATTTCTGAGACAGAATTGGTAATTAATAATTATTTACATTTTATTTTGAAATTATTTTAATAAGTCATTGTTTACAATATTCAATAAAGGAAAAAGGTGCCCTTTATTGCGTTTATCAACTATTCCTCGCATTCTACTTCAACAATTGTTTTCCATATCCTTTGCGGTATTTTAAAGTTATATTTTCTGTTTCAGATATCCCTTCGGCAGTGGCGAACTAACACATATTTGCACAAATGTGGGGCGGCGTTGCTGAACGAGAACTGGGCTGTAACAGCGGCACATTGTGTAGAAAAGTGAGTTATAGTCCTTACGAAAGAATTGTACTAAATATTTATGTGTGTTTGAATCAAAGCTAAAGCAAAATCTTTGCAACTTTTTGCAACTCACGAATTACACTAACAATTGATCAGTTGTCATGTAGCAACTTGGAAAATAAACTTTCGAAATAAAAAACTTTCGAAAACTCGAACTACAACAATTGTATGGAGAAAAGACAATGTCGATTTCAACTACATTAGTTATATGACACTTAATAAAAACTATAGATTAGCACACATATTTTTGTGTGATTTTATTTCCAGGAAACGCAAAAATGGAAAAACAAACCTTGATTTCAAAATTCAAGTTTGAATGAATTCTTTCGAACAAAATAATTTGAGAATAATATTACCTTCAAATTAGAAAAGAAGTCCAAAAATGCTAATTAATTCGAAGTAACATGCTTGGAATTTAACTTAAGTCTAATTACGAGAATTTTTGGACGGACATACTCCAAAAATGTATTGTTTATATTACCTGTTAATAGTAGATTCCTTGAATGTATGCAATGTATCCAACGATAATCATGTCATGTTAACGATCAAAATATGCCGAGCTTTGCAAATTTTATTAACTGATAATAATAATAATAATAATAATAATAATAATAATAATAATAATAATAATAATAATAATAATTATTATTATTATTATTATTATTATTATTAATTATCTAAATAGGTAGGCTTGGAAAACTCAAGCCACATGTGCATTATGGATTCAAGCCGTAATACCCCTTTCAGAGAAGGGAAACCACTAAGACCAACTGTCAGAATAAATTAATGGCGCGCTTTCAGCAAGAGGCGCACTGGCGCATGTGCAAGCAGCTCGCTAGCTGCGCGAGCACAAGGCCAGAGAATATCTTACAAAGCCCGTTTCCACCTGTTCGGCTCTTTGCTGAAGGTCTCCTTGTGCACTACTTGTATCATTCGAAAAAATGGATGCGGCGGCTTTGATGACTACGATAAGCAAAGCACCTAAGCGAATTGTTCCATCTCGACGAAAGAATGCTTTTGGATGCGAGACCTTGAAAGCAAATGGTTGGAAATGAGCATTAACATTCACGATCACTTATAAAAAATCTCATGGGGTTTCATTTGCTGAAGAAACATACTATATTAGGCTGAAAGATAATGGAAGTAATGAGAAATTAAGTGACAAATTCATTTCAGAAGCCGGGAAATAGCGAACAAAACGGATAATTATGGGACTAGTGAGCGGGCAGAAAAGAAAGATTGATGGATAATCCTTCACAATCAAAAGATTAAATATTATTGTCAACTACGAGAGCGGATTGAAAAGTGATGAATCCATTACCAACTTTTTACGTGGTAACGGATTTTCAAAATTATTTTTGTATCTGGTAGCTACATTTGGCCTTTAAGTGATGCACTGATCCCTTTTTGAATTCGTTCCCATCGCTTTCCATACACCTGCGCCTGCGCGTGGCAAGGCGCCCAAACCCATGGATCGCGAATTCTGGTGAGTGTTATCGACACAACGAAACTGACACCCTTAGCACATTACCGCTCGACATAATTTTGTGTGCCCAGCGCTCGCGCATTGACGCGACCGTGCGCGAAGAATCATTGTTGGAGCTCTCTGGTCGCATGTTTTTGCAGCTTTTAGTTCTAAACCATTGATGTATTATTAAATTAAACTGCTAGAGCGCTCCAAAGCTCTATCCGCTCTATTTTTTCTAGAAGAAGTAGCAAAACCGTTAGACCTTAGCTGCATATCGCCCGTCAACTTCGGTGCAGACCAACCACCATTTGCCAAAATTTGAACCGACACAAGACATAAATACACCCTGCCCAGGACCGTACAAATCTTTAGCGATCACGGCAAAATAGACATCTATCATGCGGGAATTCATAATAAAATTCACTGAAAATATTTTTTTTTCAATAAACTTTGCCAAAATGTTTGTTTTTTGTGCGTAGTTATGAGCCAGATCATTGTAATATAAAATGTTTGTTTTATCTTCTAATACAAGACCATGGTACCGCAGTTTTCGCGTACCGCAGACCGTAGTTTTCGCGTACTTTAATGGATAAAAGCTGTTATGAGTTCGCTTATTCTCCTATCTTTTGAAGAGTATATCTTTCTATTGGAAATGAAATGCCTAGCCTCCAAGTTCAGAACTAGCAAAACATCTTGGAGACTAAACTCAATGTGAGAGGCAACTTTTAATGCCTAGGATTCTCGAGCCACACGTGCGGAAAGTAGAACTCGTCGTTCGGGACCGGTACCTGGGTGGTCACGTGGCAGAAACAATGCATAATAAAACACTTAAAAACTTGTTTAAGGTTCTTGCAATTACGCATACTAAATACATACTCCGAAAACAACAAATACATTTTAACATTGTGCGGAGATCATAAATCCCTGCAGATATTCATCGTCCTTGTCCACTCACCTCTTTAACTTAATGTACTGACGTGCATTCATTTTTCCCCGCCGAATTGCCCTTATATCGGCTCTACTACATTGCGTGTGATCATTCATTATCAAATACTGGCCTTCAGCTCATAAATGATCTGTATTAATGGAAAATAAAATCATAATCAAATGGGAAGATGTGCAATAAAAATTACTGACAAATCCTGAAGCTGTTTATCATCATATTCTTCCTATTAATTCATCTTGCATATTTTGCGGACGGTGATTCAAGCTGTCAAAATACCAAATATCTATGAATGCCTTTGTGCACTTCAGAAGACAATTTTAATGCCAAAAACTACATCATAGGAGACTGATGGAAAAATCGAACAACTCTGCGAAAGCCCACTTTGATAACAAATAAATAATTAATAAATTACTTTGACTTGGTTAGCCGAAGAGTCCATATTTGCATGCCAATTAAAAGCTTTCTATGTCATTTTGTTTCGTAAGATGAACAGGTGTTTCCTAAGATTTTTGCAGAGATGCACTTTGATTACGCATTCGGGGTTTATGACGCCTGGTTTGAATTTTAAGTTTTGCCTAGCGTCGTGAGAACATTTGAGGCGCTCAGGTTAATAACGGCAGATCCCGCATTTCTTCAGTTAGAAGTATAACGGTATACCTCTGCCATAAACCTATCATGTGCTGAAATGAATTGGGATATGGCAAAAACCTCAAATTCCAACTTTTTTCAACAGTTTGTTCGGAATGAAATGGAACGCTAACGAAAAGAGAAAAGTATTTTTCTCAAAACGAACTTCGATTGGAATCTGCCATTATTGTTCAATGAGTGCCTCATTTGATGAAAGTGAAATCCGACCATGAAGCCATGCAGTTATTTAGTGACGAATCCCAATGTGTTGACCACACGCCGTCCGATAATAACACTTTATGGTATCTTCCGAAAGTTAAATGTGAACATGCTCATTCGTAAATCCACGCATACAAGCGCACCTTCATGATTACTTTCGCCTAAGCACTCATACACTTCCCAGACAAGCACGCATGCAGCACGCACGCACCTGCACACATATACTCACATGAACAGATGCACACACATACGCACTCATGCACATGCATACCCACATATACAGATAAATTCATACGTCCTCATGCTGTATCCACAAGCAATGATACACACACAAACATCATCTGGGTTCGAGATGTCGTGGCCCTTTGTAAGCCTCTCTAAGCGGCGTGCTTCCATTGTGCGCAGCGTGCCGCCGGCCGACCTGCTGCTGCGCCTGGGCGAGCACGACCTGTCGAGCGAGGACGAGCCCTTCGGCCACGAGGAGCGGCGCGTGCAGATCGTGGCGTCGCACCCGCAGTTCGACGCGCGCACCTTCGAGTTCGACCTGGCCCTGCTGCGCTTCAACCGGCCCGTCGCCTTCCGCCCCAACATCGTGCCCGTGTGCGTGCCCGAGGACGACCGCTCCTTCGTGGGCGAGACAGCGCACGTCACCGGCTGGGGCCGCCTGTACGAGGGTGAGTGGCTGCGCCCCTCGCGGCGCCTGCGCCTTCCTCTTCGCCTTCTCTTCCTCCTCTCATTTTCCTGCTCTCTTTCCTCTCCTTATCTGACAACTTGACAAAATGGGACAAAGGGGAAAAATGGGACAAACGGACAAAATGGGACAAAGCAGGTCAAAATGGGACAAAGGAGAGCAAAATGGAACAAAGGGTCAAAATGGGACAATGGAACAAAGTGGGGAAAATGGGACAAAATTGGAAAAGGGAACAATCTGGGAAATGTAGACAAAGGGACAAAATGGGACTAACAGACAAAGGGGACAAAAGGAACAAGGGAACAAAAGGAACAAAAATTTCAGAATTGATTTCTTGTGCTAATGAAGGTAAATGTCGTGGCTTCAAATGGCATTTCATTCAGTGGAAATTTAAAATATTTCAACTTCAATATATCTGTACAAAAATTTTTGTAAAAATAAATTTTGTTTACATTTATTCCCAAAACTTCTGTTTTGTGGCTCAAAGATTTATGAGCACTGGTCAAATATATACCCAAAAGTCCGTTAAAATATTTTTAATGGACTCTTGAGCGTTTAACGGCCATGCTTTTAATGCGTTGTTGAGATGGTTGGTTGCTAAGGTGCTAAGCGTGTGTTTACTGATGCAACAAACCAATTAAATAAATTAAGGTAGAAATAGAAGTACATTTAATTAAACTTATTACTCTTTTCTTATCTCAGAACATTTTGACTTTCCTCTCCCTCTATGCTTCATACACTTGTTGTTCCTTTCTTTTTTCTTTTAACCTTTTTGGTACTCTCAAAAATTTTTATTTGCTATAAAAAAATATTTGGCCATTGTGCATTAAAACAAGATACATGAACATTGATTTCAGCAAAATTGGAATGTACAAGAAACACACAGTAAAATTCATGTAACTTGTTTTGAAAACCATCCTAGTTTAAGAAACCTGGATCTATGCTTCAAGTTACCAATAGCCCTTAGAACTCATTACTTTTCATCAACACAGGAAATTTTGATAATTTTCAATAATTATTTTACACTCTTCCATTCCTTGTCTTCTGTACTAAATTATTAACTAATGCAAAGTTGCACATATTATTTTACACAATGTAATCTCAAGAAAATATCCTAATAATTTTTATTGTATTGAAAGAATTCTCAGAGCTACAAAAACTATAATATGCATAATTATTTTGGACCAGAAATTTTGGAATATTCTTCAGACACAGGGGCAGATCCAGCCAATTATTTGGGGGAGGAGGAGCATCGTAGATTTTTGTTATCTAATAAATATTCTTATTATTATATTGTAGTGGACTGTAGTATATTTTTGTAGTAGAGGCCTATACACGATACTATACAATATTATTTTTTAAATATTTACATAATTCTAACAAATAAATATTTAAATGAATTTTGCCAAGTAAAGGAACACAACAAACAAAATCTCTAGGGCTTTTTGGGAGGAGGGATAAGTGGACCCATGCCCCACCCCCACCTGGATCCATGAAATATGTTTTTTTCTTTCTATAAAAAATAATCGACAGAAATCCTGTTATGTGTGTTGTTGCTGAATAGATTATTACCTTCTAGTTTTGAAACTAATAGATTTAGCTGAAAAAATTGAAATTTATAGATTATGTCTCAGGGAACAAATAACATGACAATCATACATAACATGGAAACAGTATGTCTTAGGCTTCTATAACCAGGTAATTCTGTCCCTAAAGGGACAGGTGAGTTGTGTGAAGACACGTGTTTTGGATGGATTTGTGGGGAAATGGCAGAAGACAGGCCAGGCACAGGGAGCCTGGGCAGCATTCTACAAAATGAGACCTTTTTGAATCTTACATTACATGTTTAGAGATTTAGTTCTTCCAGAGACCTTTATTTTGTACGCTAATCAGATATGAGCAGAAACTTGAAACCAATGTAAAATGAAATTGAAAGAATAAAGACAAATAATATTTCACAATTCAATTTAAGTGTGTATTTGATTTTCTATGAACTTTAATTTCAATGCTTAGCAACAAAATGTCTATTTGTGCACAATTTTAGGCATAGAATCTACTTTGAATGTGGTTTATTTGTTGATTTGTTGTTTCGAAATGTGTTAGAGTTACTTTTTTATTTAATTTAAATCAGTTTGTTTATAAGCTTGGACCATGATTCCCTGTTATTTTTTCCCCTTTAATACATAATAATTACAGAATAATTGCTAGTTGGTGTCATTTTCATGTGTTTGTCATTTTTGTTCATAGATGGGCCTCTACCCAGTGTTCTTCAGGAAGTGTCAGTGCCAGTATTAAACAACAGTGCATGTGAAGCTATGTACAGACAAGCCGGCTATGTTGAACACATTCCACACATATTTATTTGTGCTGGTTGGCGCAAGGGAGGATTTGATTCTTGTGAGGTGAGTGTATAATAGAATTCTTTCAATGCTTCATTTAATTTTTCCACTTTAAAGTTTCAGTAATTTTGCATAATGCATACTTTTGGGAAGGTAACAAATTGAAAACAATAAAGCACTGACTAATAGTGCTCTATAACAATAGCATTGCAATATTTAACCCTAGAGCATGTGCGCCCATTTCACTTATACAGTAAAATCTCTGATATCCTCACATGGCCTTAAGCAATGTGTCTCTGGCTGAGGGGTTACGATTTTGAATGTGGGTCTGGGAGAGCCACAAATAGAAGCCATGCCTGTACACCTCCATACTCAGAGGGTTGGGGGGGAGGGGGAGCCCCCTATGGCCTATGCCTTGAGAGAGAAGTGAACCCAAGGTTGAATTCTACACTGTCAGCTGAAGACCCTCTCCTACATAGTGTGTTTGCTATGACAAAATCGCATGGGATAGAGAATTTACAACTGACTTGAAGATGCATTCATTGTATTACGAATAAATCGCATCTAACTTATTGCATCAATATTACAGAAATTCCATTATATAAAGATCCCTCCCCCCTAGTACATGGAAATCCATTCTGTTTCCGTGTTGGACAGATTCCATTTTATGCTGTGTAAAATACAATATAACTTCAATGGCCAGACAAATTTTCCAGTTAAGGCAGGTTTCTGTCTTGTACAGGTTCCAGTTTAGACAGATTTTGATGTATTACCAAGTGTGTGACGATTCAAGTAACAGGGTGGTGTGCACTACCCTATTATTTTGAATTTTTGGTTCACAAGCATATGTACAAAGTTAAATTTCTTCATCGTCACTTAGTTTTTCATTAGTTCACAATGTATGCAACATACTCTTATTGCAGTCAATTTTCTCTTCAACGTTAATCCGACTGAAAACTTAAAATATTTTTAAAATAGCTAAAATAGACCCTCAATATGTTATATATATGCAAACAAAAAGTAGTTGCCCCTAAATATTTTACTTGCATGATCACGCACATGGTGAATTCTATTCATGCAATACAATCTTTCAGAAACTACAGATAAAAATATGAACTCCTGAATGTTATTAAAATAACATTGTGGATACAAGCTGATTTTCATAAAATGATACTAAATGAGGCATGGTGTATCAATGAAATTTTCCAGAAATGAGAGAGGGAAATGTCAGTCTGATGAAGGGAATTCCAACACCAATTTAGGGTTAAATCAAATTGTTTTTTGGAACATTAATAATTGTTGTAATTTTGTTATTTGTGTTTTATTTTTATTGTTATCTTTGTAAGAAGAAATGTGGAGTTTTCTCTCAGCATGATTTCATAATTCACATTTGGTTGTTAAAATTTATTTTCATGCTGATAGCATACCCTGATTTTTTCTGAATGCAAATGAATTTTTCACTGTTAACAAGTACTATTTATCACTGCAATACAATTTGGAAAATTAAGCTCTTGTATTTTACATGAAATTCCTATGTGGATCTTATGTAAAGTTGGACCACTTGGAATTTACATGAATTTGTGCCTGTTTCATTTTTTAAAATATTTGAATGATAATATGACTAAATAAAATGACAGATTATTTATTTCCAGTGATTATATGATCTTGATTGACCACCAAATAATGTTCTAAAACTGATATTTTTCTCTTGTAAGTGAAATTTAAAAATAGTTTATCCACTATGTCACTCTAAAAGTGATATAACTTTAAACATTTCCGTAGAAATGCATTGAAGAGAGACTCTATGTATCATCATGAAAACAAATGTGCCAAAATAATAACTTGTAGCATTTCCCTCAAAGTCTGAACTGAACATAATATCCATAATGTTCACAAATACTTTTGATACTTTGTTCCCCAACTTGTAGCTTTAAAACTTCTAAAAGTCATTATTATTGTCATCTGTTATAATCTATCATCACCACCACCATATTATCCTTATTGTCCTCATATATGGCCTTTAAATAAATGTTATGGAATTCAACTCCATATAGATTTTTATTTAATCTTGTTAATGTACTTTGAGTAGTTGCATTTACTCTAGTATATCTTTGTTTCAAATGAATCACTTTCGGTAAACTCTGATTACTTCTCTATTTTCCATCAATAGGGATATTTTTTGAATAAATAAATAATCTAGTACATCAGTCATTTGTACCTGTTAATAATAAGTTGTGGGTGTTCTTCATTACTTTCAAGGGAGGTGGTTGTTGGAAGTTTCAATATTCATCTTGTCTGTAAACAACAAACTATTTTCTATTGGAACTATAAATTTAGTAAAGTTTGGTGGGTGTTTTCCAAACATCCCCCAAACTCTTCCCCAAATGCTGCCTCACACTCTCCCAAAACACCTCCCAAACACTTCCAACCATATTCCCATGTAGTAAGTACACACTAATTGAAGTATAAACTGAAGAAACAGAACTGAGGTAATATTTAAGCAATCTCAGTACATAACTTCACTTCCTTTTAACCACTGCACATTTAATTCCTTAATGGAAGATGCAACACAAGTAAGGGTAGAAATCAAGAAAAAGATCAAATCATATCAGTTGATGTACACAGTTTACATTTGTAGGTGTTTTCTAAAAGTTGTAAAAAAATATTAATGCCAGATAACTGTGCAAGATAGCACTGTATTGTATAATGCAGCAATAATGTAATTAACCCCTTTCAATGGACAAATTACCATATTGAACTAATTGTAACTGGAGTCGCACAATGGTCTGGCCATTCAAGCTATATTACAAAGTAAAGCTGTTGATGTCAACAGTAACCAGGGCATTATAACTGGTTAGACTTCAGCCCCCACCCTCGGAAGCCAATGATACATATTCACAAATGTAGCATTTACTAATGTGCTGTAGAAACAAAAGTCACAGCTCAAGATATCATGGATTCCTGGACAGGTGACCTTCTGGGAATCCTGGTTCCTAACATTGCCAAGTCCCTGGCATAAGGGATAAAAGGCTTTGACTGACTGCAATGTTATGAGGTAAAATACAAAACTTAATGGAGGATTACTCCAAATATATATACACTGAATTCTCAAAAGGACTGAAAGACCTGTTGCGAAAAAGATGTAATATATTTTTAAGACAGAAAAAGCTTTATAAATAATAGCTATAAGTCAACAAATAAAAATACATTTTATATTCATCATAAATGAATTTTTTTAGAGAAAACATCAAGTTAGCTGGATGTTATACCTGAAGCTCTCCCCCAGAAAAAAATCTGGCTGTGCTTCTGGCACATAAAATTATTGTTAAATTAATTGGAAATTTTTTGAATATCTACTGAGAAGTCCAAAGATGACAAAATAAACTGCTTTAAGAACAAAGAATCACTTCAATTGGAGAAAATTGAGTTTTGAAGACATAGGATGATCTTGAGAGCTTAAAGACTACTGTCTTGAGTAGTGAATATGCCATGTAGAGTACAAAATTGTCATATTTGTAAGTGATATTGACTTGAAAAATGTTAATAAGATTTAAACAGTCTACTTTATATAATTTTACTGCAGAAAGCTATAATTTGTTTTTGGCTACATATTTTTTAAAATTTTATATATATATTTTATTTAACATCAAAATCGGTTAAATTGTGTCTGACATTCTACAGGGGAAAGTGTGTGCTGTGCATGTTTACTTAAATTCTTGGATACCTACCCTAACCCATAAACAAGTTAAATTATGAATACAGGTGGAAACAATCATTTTTGGAAAGTATTGATAAAAAAAAAATTCTTCCCATGTAATAAAAAAATATGTACAAATATAAATTAGCTACAGATTTTTGGATATTATTACTTATTGTGGCTTTTGTGAAGGAATCGACTTGCTGCCATGAAAACATGGAGAACAATTATTTGAATAATTATATCTATTCCCTACTGAACTCTAGAAAACTTGCGCAGGTAGTGAAACTACATTTATAGCCAGAAGCAAAACAAGGGGTTATCTAAGGGTTTGCCCAAAGGATCAGGAAAGCTGGATGAAAAATCTGACTAAGATGGAGGTCATTGACTCAGAAGCTGAGATAATACTTGTCATCAATCGTGAAAATTACATAAAAATAATTAAGCTAAAAGAAGTTCTAAACATATTCAAGATATACAAATATAAAAGTACAGTTAAAAGAAAAAAAATGATTTAAAAATGCATTCCCCACAATAATTCAAACTCTACAATAATACATATGATTAATAAAGCTTGAAAAATTACATAAAAAATAAATATAAATATAAAAGTGCAATTTAATTAAATATAATGTTTAGTACTTCACCATTTGTAATCATTTCCCACTGTACAGTTTCAGGAGAAAATATCTTTAAGCTCTCAAGCACTCAGTGTGAATGTAAATCCTATCTATGAGATATTTTAAAATTTTCCTTATAAAATCTGATAGGATACCCTGTCAGTGAGTAGTTTTTATAGATTTCATTGAGCTCCAGAATGCTGTAGGAATTTCAAAGTTTCCATAAGATCACTTGTACATCTTCTATCCTCCAAAGTGGACATGTTTAAGCAACTTAAGATGCTTTTCATTCAATCGATGTCTTGTGAAATTTTATTTACACGGATTTTACATATTTGACCCTTTTTAACAATTGGTTAAACCTCACGAATGGATTTCTAACATAATAGACCCTAAGCATGGCAAAACGATGGGCTCCCTAAAAAATTGAAATATTGAATAGATTCTTAGTTAAAATTAACACTTTCTAACCTTTGCAACTAAAATAAATATTAAAATATTATAAATATTCATAAACTAAGAAATATAAAATTTTGTTTAACATATTGAGAGCCTCTATCCAGCAGGGACTCTCGCACGGTCTAGAGCAATAGATCCATGGGGCACTCGTATTTCAAACAAAAGTTCCACCTCTCTAACCAAGACATAAACATAATTATTTCTCCATGCAACAGATATAACTTATATCAGTTAATTTTAATTAAATGTAAATAACATTTTTTTTATGTAAGAAACAAAAATTTCAG